TGGAGGGTTATCAGAAATTGAAGAGGAAGCAAGGTTAGGAACGAGAGAATTCGGGTGGTTCTGAAGTTTATTATGGAAGGATAGGTATCTGGATTAAGCCAAATTGGAAACATAGGGAACATTAAGGTCATTATGAATGGTTTTATTTCTAACAAAGTAGGGAGCATTCAGGATTTTGTTTGGATTGTAAGGATTGAAAACGAGAGGAATTCGATGGTTTAGTGGAGCCCCATAGCTCAACTCTCTAAGTCCAAATAGGCCTTATTATTATCATGTATATGAGTATTTTGTAATTAATTGGACGTTTAGGGCGTTTGTCTAGCAAGCTGAAATAATTGGAAACGTCGAGCGGTTTCTTGTCCTTTCAGTCTGGTATGAAAAAATTAAAAATTAATTAAAATTATGCAAAAATATTAAAAAATATATTACAATAAAATACATACATAACTATTAGTGTTGCCCAAATGCGAGACCGAGACGAGTCTTGGTCTTGCAAACTCAGTCTTGGTCTAGGTCTTGGTCTTGCGCAAGACTATCGAAACTGTCTTGCAGTTACCTATTAGCTTATTACTAGAGAGATATTACTGTATTTTTTTAGATATGAGAAACCTAACTAAGTCTGAATGAAAAATTAGAAGAGTTAAATGCAAAAGTATATTGGTTACACCAATTTTTTACATATAGTAACTAAAATTGTCAAGTATTAGTAACTATTTTGCCTCAATTCTTATTCAAAAAATCGATTTTTTTTTACCGTTCTTGGTCTTGGTCTTGCAACAGATAGGTGATGTGACCGATTTTGGGCAACACTAATGAGTATCAAGAAGTAAGGTTTCCCTTTGCAAAATAATGTGTAAATTACATTACCTTAATCGTGCTACATTGCTCGTTATTGTGAATGTGAACAAATAACTTCCTTCTTCTTACCACAAGTGATGTTGACTTGGTCTAATTTTTAGTTTTAGCAAATTTTAATAAGATATAACCGTAAATAGAAAGAGGTGAGGAATAGGCCAGCAACTTCTTGGAATTCTTTCTATTGAGGAGCGCATCCTAGACTTGCAAGGTCACATGCACATTCCTTAGTCCTAGCGATTTCACTTCCTGCACTCATCGGGTTCGAAAAACTCCCTTTTTCTAATTTATTAGAAGATATTTAATAATTTTTAAATAATTCTTTACTGATGATAACAACAACTTGGAAAAGTATTTTTATTTTATTTAGTCAAAAATATAAAATCATAATTAAGGAAAACATATGGTAAACGCCGCAGTTGGATATTCAGTCGTTGTAAGCTATCGGCACTGTATGAATAAAATGGAAGAATGGACTTTCGCGAACATCACTGAAATATCTTTTAACAACGACATGTGATTGATGGCTATATAAATTAATTCCAAATTTGAAAACCGTCTTTTAAATCTACTTTAAACTTTTGATTCAATTACAAACTTCTTGTTGAAGTCAGATTCTTTGGTATCGCTCATTAAAACAAAAATTTAATCGTTGAATATATTGAGAATCTGTTTTGTTCCAAAACAATTAGTTAGGAATTTATTTATATCATTTATAATTATTTATTCGAATATAATTAACTGTGAAAACTATAGTACACATTGTACCGTTAGAGGGAATCTGAAAATATTTTATGGGTGATGAATATTCAGGACGCAATGCTTCATCATCAGGGCTGAAAATATTTTAATTCAATCAGAGATATAATAATAACAAAAAATATATAAACTGAAATGTTACCCCCCTCTCCTCCTTCTGACTATGTTTACCTATGTTTTGCTATCTAAAAAAACACATCTGGGAAATCCTCCCCCGACCCTTTTACTTACCTACCAAAGTGTCAGTACTTGAATACCTTCAGTGCTCGAAACACGGTTAGTAAGAGAAAATATTACATTTTTTATAAATTGACTATATACATTATTTTTAGTTTGTATAATTTTTTACATATTTCATTTGTCTATTTCATGTATAATCAATCACTATGTTTTTTATTATTAATCATTATATGTCGTATAATATTATATCTCTGATTGTATTGAAAAAATGTCAGTCCTGGTGACTACTGGTGGTTTGGGTTGTAAATAAATAAATAATAATATAAACTTTAATGACTGCGTCCAGAATATTTATCACCCATGATATGTAGAATAGTCGATTAACTTCCTTCAATGAAAATATTATAATGGTAGAAATGTAGTTGGCTGTATCCAGAAGTTTACTTTAATAAAAGAAAATAAATCATAAACGATGACACGGTAAGTTAATTAATTTTTGAATTGTTTTTGGAATCTTCCTAATATATTTAATAGATAAAAGTAATTAAATTAATGTTCCTACCGAAATGGTTAATGCTTTTCTTTAGCAGTTAAAAAAAAGTAATAAATGTTGAGTATATATAAAAATAAAAATACTGCATCGGCCGGGAATCGAACCCGGGCCGCCCGCGTGGCAGGCGAGCATTCTACCACTGAACCACCGATGCTGATGTCTAGATGGAACATAGCAACATCTTATTAACCAAATATATTGTTTCGGGCAAGTTCCTAAAACAAGCATTGAGCTCATCTATGGGATCTGAGCTGTCTCTAAACTGGAATAAATGAAAACTTACCGTTTCTAAATGTTCTAGTGAGGAAAACCATAATAGAAGTAAATTTTACTATTAATATTATGGAATTAAACTACAACTCTGTTCACCATTTTTTTTCTTAATTCTTCAATATCATTGTTATATCTATTAAAATACTATATATACTCCAAGTGCAATATTAACAGTTTAACATCCTCTGACGTAATTCATAATTAAAGATAATTAATGTGTTTTAATTAGCATTATATCCTTGTATATGACGTACAGATTCAGAGAGTTTTTATAATCTTTACAATATAATTATAACTTAGTTTATTTTAATCTGAATGTTTTTTTCTTCGCAAGTCCGACGAGAAAAAGAGTTCAGTCTGAGTTGTAGCGCCAGTTTTATTTTTTACGTTCCGATCTTTTTTTTGTCAAAAGAATACACATATTATGCAATTGTTATATAATGTCTTTATATAATATTTTCTTTGAATATATTAATGAAGGAAGAGGTTTGGTTTCAGTGGTAAATTTAACATTTGGCGTATGTTCGAGAAGATTTGTCCTTGAGGCCCTCGGTTTATTTTTCTTCACAGCCCTTATTATCTATTGAGGACGAAGATTTTATTTATACGCGTTGCCTAGTATAGGTATAATTTTTTGGACCTGATTTTTTCAATAGAAAAGGTTTACATGATTTTCATTTTATATACTATGACGTATCAACTTTATATATATACATATATATATATATATATATATATATATATATATATATATATATATATATATATATGTGTGTGTGTGTGTATTTAAACTTAGCTATTTATTAACTATTGAATTTTCATTTCTTCTGTTTATTGACGTTTCGTTAACGATGGGATCCTCTTCAAAGCTAGAATTTTAAAAAATAGAGCTTCCATCAGGCCAGGGACACCGACAGTCTAAGCACCATACACTAACACATATATTAAGCTACTGGTCTCTATTTTTTAAAATTCTAGCTTTGAAGAGGATCCCATGGTTGACTAATAAAAAGAAAATACCGGGATCGAAACGTCAATAAACAGAAGAAATGAACATTCAATAGTTTATTGAATAATAATTAAATGACCTTATTCCCAATAAATAGTTAAGTTTAAATTTAATACTCAAAGGTCGATTAAGGATATATATATCTTAAATTTGAATACCTATAATATATAAAGAATATATTGTACTAAATAATTTAAAAAAAAAATTAATGAAGTCAAGCCTACAAAATAAAACAAAATTTTGTAAGCTTATTAAACGTTTCTGCTTATACAGATTTACTATATTCGAAAATCCTATTATCCAGAATTCTATTTTATATATTCTTACGTTATTGATTTTAATTAAGTGATTAAAGACGCAATACTAATTAAAAAAATAACATAGAAACTTGTTATTACATTATACATACATAAATATATTCATACACTATCGGATTCCCCAGAGGAGAGGCAGGGAATTCGGTCTAAAGTCTCTTTAAAATAGAATTAGTTTTTTTTTATTGGCCCATTCATATTTCTTGGAGTTATTTGAGCTAAATATGTAGAACATCGCAATGTACACATGTATATTGTGTACGCTAAAGGAAAGCAATATATAAAAAATATTTCTAAAATATATAAAAAAATTTATCACTAAAAGTATTATTGATCCTGTAATTTCTTTATTTCTTTTTTTTTTTCATAACAGGCCTTCAAGTATCATTTTAATATTTCTTATGATTTCTTTCTTTTTCTGCGAAAGTAATTACCATAAAAAAATAATCCAAAAAAAAAAAAAAAAAACAACTACAAAAAATAGCCCCATCCAAAATTATATCCTGTGTCCGCTAATGCATCCACCGTAATATGACCGTATTTTAGATTCCGTTATTTATTAAGATTATTTTAAAACAGGTATTGATACATATATTTATAATATATAATATAAGTATTTGTTAGGATATAAGTATTTGTTAATAACCTCGAATGGACTGCTGTACAACTCTTCTTTAGTTTTTAATTTTATTTAATTAGTTTTTAATGTAATTTAACTCTTAATTTTAGGGCTTGAAATTAAGTGATAATAAATTAATTTATATTAAACGAAATATTAATATGAATTAATACATTAAAAAATGTTTTAGTTATTCATCTGACCATCTCTTATCCGGAATTTCGCGTAATCCGAAATAATCCAATATATGAATTGCTAAGGATAAATGTTTTACCCATAATACTCAAACACAATAAGTGTATTATAGGATAGAATATATTTTGAATTTTATTGAAATATTATAATTTTTTTTTTATTTTTAGACATTAATTTTTTTTTTTGTTATGATATAACAATGCTCTTTTGTATGTACTTTTTATCACATATTACATGTCTTCACTATGTTTTTCTTCTCCAAGGTACATGAAGAAAGTGCATAGGCCCTGCTGAAGGTGACAGTGTTAGGAAGTAGGAAGTAGACCTTCGGAAGAGTCCATTGTTGTATACTATCGTTTGTCCTTTGTCAGCTCGTTTGTTCAAATCTCCTCTTTACATGTTTGAAAAGTGAAAAAAAAAAAACAATAAAACAAATAAAAAAACAGTCGTGATGTGCATAATGATAAAACTAAATGAATTTATTTGTAACTGAATGAGTTAGCTTATTGTTGAAATTTAACCTGTGATGTTATTATTATTATTTTTATTTATTAAAAAGAAAAGAAGAAACAAGTGTAGATTGGCTAGACTGATTTTAAGTAATCAAAGCTTGTTTGGAGAGTGGAAACCAAGAAAAGAACTTCGTAATGATTATAAGGAAATGACCTCCATTGTTATCTTTACTTGTCATGTTTTTGAGGGTGACATTGAAGTACAAGGTGCACACCCTTAGGTCACCACATACTTTCTTGACGTGATTAATTTGTGATAATTTATCTCAGTTTGAACTCAATTATTTCCTCATATAACGTTGTCTATCTATACACCTGAAACACTTATATAATTAATTGTGAAGTTTTATACGAATTATTTTTTTTTTCTTTTTTTTTATTGAAAAATATTACAATCTCTCTCAAAGGACATTTATAATAGTGTTCAGAGATCATATTCACACTCTATGTACAATAAATAAAATAAATTATACAGAATAATAATATGAATAAAATAACCTAAAAATAAATAAGTAATAAGAACACATACATACATACCTATATACACTATTATACAAATAATAATTTTTAAAAAATAAATAAAATAAAATTGCAGACCTGAAATTTCAAATCACACATCTACAGTGTAAACAAGTTGTTTTAACTTATACTAACGGACATTATATGTTGAATTGTCATAGATCGGTACTCTTTCTTTATGTTGTTAGCTTTTTTTTTTTTTCGATGTGGGATGTACTAACTATGTTCTATGTTTATATGGTCTTACCTTTTTCTATTTCTAGGACGCCAAATCGGTGAAATGTTACTGATAAATTATTTACTGGTATTTAAGATAATTCTCTGTTTTGCCATCTTCTGATCGTATGCTAATAGTATTTCTATTTACCATTTTCCAGTTGTGACCTTCTTATCTAGTATTGCTTTATTAATGTACGTTTCTGGGAATCTTCTATTCCCCTCTTCAGCATGAGAAATTATAGAAATAATACGTTAAAGGTTTTAACCAGAACCAGTTATTCTTAATTTTAAAATTAATAACATTTAAAATTTGTCTTTAACTTTTTTTTTTTTTTTTTTGCACTTACATTTATTTATCCGCACCTGTCAATTATTATTGACAATCAGCAGATGTGCTGGCTTAGTAATGAGAGAAAAAAAAAAAAAATAAAAAAAAAATAAATAAATAAAAAGGCTTGATAGGCATGAGGAATAGCAATACCCAGCGGTATCCCTTCCATGGCTTTTATTTACTAACATTATTTAAGCAGATCCCTCATCCAGACCCTTTTCAGTCGTCTTCTGGAGTTCTCGGGCATACTAGTTGTGGCCATTTCTTTTACCAGCTGGTTGGAGTGCCCGTTTAACATGTTATGAAATCGTTTGTAGTACGTTCGTATGTGTTCATTGACTGTCGGAACGTGTAGGTCGGTGTGTAAAGTGTGATTGTTTACGTACCATGGTGCTTGAGTGATTAGTCGTAGTATCTTAGACTGAAAAGTTTGAAGTTTATTTATGTGAGTTGGTTTTGCAATTCCGTATATTTGTAGTCCGTAAGTCCAAAGAGGTTTTAAAAGATACGTGTAAATACTTAGTTTCTGTCTTGCTTTTAATTTGGAAGGTCGTCTTAACAGTGTATGTAACAATTTTAGTCTTAGATTTAATGTGATTCGTTTTTTCTTCACATGTGGACCCCATGTCATTCTCCTATCGAACGTAAGGCCTAGGTATTGTACTCTGTCTGTTTGTGGAATCGGTATGTTGTCTAAGTATACAGGAGGGCATGTTTCTGGTCTTAGAGTAAATGTGATGTGCTTGATAATTTAATAATGTACTTTTGATAATTTATTTGAGTTTTCCAAAGTTTACACCAATCGAGTATAATTTTTAAGTAATGTTGTAAGTTAAGTGATGCCTCTGTAGGATTGTCGTGCCTGGTAATGACAGCAGTGTCGTCTGCGTAGGTTGCTGTAAGAGTGTGGATACTTTGAGGAATGTCGTGTGTGTATGTGATGTACAGTAGTGGGGCTAGGATTGATCCCTGAGGTACACCAGCTAAAACTGATCGAATTGAGGATAGACCTTGGCCATGTCGAACGGAGAAAAATCTATCTGAGAGAAAGGAATGGAGAATTAAGTAGTAAGTATGTGGAAGTATGGTCTTAAGCTTGAAGAGAAGCCCCTGATGCCATACTTTGTCGAACGCTTGGGCGACATCCAGAAATACTCCGGTTGCATATAATTTCCGCTCTAGTGCTGTAGAGATGTAGTCAGTCACCCTGTGCAATTGTTGTGTTGTTGAATGTAATTTTCGAAACCCGAATTGATGGTCAGGAATAATCTGTCTGTCTGTTAGTATATGTAATAGTCGTGGGTACAATAGTTTTTCGAATAACTTAGAACATACTGGAAGTAAACTAATCGGTCGATATGAAGAAGGGTTGTTAGTGTCTTTGTTTGGCTTTTTAATCATGGTTATGTGTGAGTATTTCCATTGTATAGGAAATTTGTGGTCCTGAGAATGCAATTGAAGATTGTGGTAAGAAACACTAGAGCTTTCCTTGGCATTTGCTGGAGCGCCTCAGCAGTTATCAAGTCATGACCAGGGGTTTTTCTTTTGGGCAATTGTCTAATTTCTTGTGCAACTTGTGATGGTGTGAAAGGAGGTGGTGGTAGTGTGAGCTGTAGCGGTATGTCTAAGTTATTATGTACAAAAATATCGTGTTCTGTATTAATTAAGTCTGTATGTGGTTTAAAAACAGTGGAAAGATGGTTAGCAAAGAGTTCAGATCTTTCCTCGTCCGAAACAGCCCAAGAGCCATCCTCTCTTCGTAGGGGTGCTGACACCTCACGATGCTTTAAAAGATTCCTTGTATGTCTCCATAAACTTCCATCGTCCGTCGAAAGGTTGTTAATAAAATTGTCGTAGTTTGTGCTTTTGAATTTTTGAATATGTCTTTTAAGTTCGTTGTTCAATCTGTTAAAAGTTTGTCGGTCTGAAGGAAGTCTGTTAGTCTGCCATACTTTACGTGCTCTTCTCTTTGCTCTAATCAAGTCCCTTATGTACATTGGATAATGGGGCAAGTTCGCTGCTTTTTGTGGCCTGGATGTTGATGAGGCCCATGCTGCATCTTGTATGCTTTTTGTGAATTTTTCAACAGCTTCTTCTAATTCCTCATGATTTTTAATTGAACCTGGAACGGAAAGATTGGTGTTCAAATAGTCTCTATATGCGTCCCAGTCCATGCAGCCTTTTATGAGCCTAGGTCTTTTTTGTGTTTCGGAAGGCTCATCGAAGAGAACCATGTGCACTGAGGAGTGATCAGAACAAAGATCGGAGGTTGCATTGACGGCAAATGGTACGGTTCTTAGTCCTTTTGTAATAAAGAAATCAAGTAAGTCGGGAGTTTTGCGTCTGGAGGTGGGCCAATAAGTTGGTGAATTTGGTGTTACAGTGTCTAATGAAAGTTCATGGAGGACAGACCAGAGATTTCTGCCTCTTGGAGTACACAACCTTGAGCCCCAGCCTTGATGCTTAGCATTATAGTCTCCACCTGCGATGAAGCATCTTCCGAGGCGTTTGAAGAACTCAGAAAACATCGTGGGTGTAAGCTTGTACCTAGGGGGACAGTAAACTGAGGCAAATGTTATAGTGTAGTGTTTAGTGTATAGTGTTATTCCTGTCGATTGTATGTCGGGTGTAATGGGTAAGTCTACGGGATTGTGTTTCAGTGAATTTTTGACGAGTATAGCTGTTCCTCCATGTGCAGTTTTATCTGGGTGATCAGTTCTGTAAATTGTGTAATCCTGGATGTAAATTTTTGATCGGGATGTCAGGTGTGTTTCTGTAATGAGTGCTACGTCGATTCGTTTTTCGTGCAAGTATAAGTCGAGTTCAGTACTGTGCTGTTTCAGTCCGTTGGCATTCCATAGAAGAACTGACAAGGAGCCTACAGTTAAATTATTGTGGGCCATAATTTGGGCACCAGACCTGTGTAACCTGTGACAGTTGTTGAAGAAGAATGAAAAGGGGCTGGATTAGGTTATTTAATCCATTAATTATATTAAATAATTGAGAAGAGCCATTATCTACCGGAGGTATCGGTTGGGTAATGCCTCTCCTCGTACCTGTACATGTTTTCTGGTTCGGGGGTGCTGAACTAGATGATGTTTGGTTTTGTTGTTGCGGAGGTCCTGCGATGATCTGTGGTTCCCCTTGGTTGTGACGTTGCCGTATTGGAGGGAATTCATGCATGCCTGGAGGTCCCTGCGCTGGCTCTGCTACTGTGGAACGCTGAAGACGATTTCTTGCATTGCGCTGAAACCTGAGATCTTTCAGCGTCTGGCAGCCTCTGTAATTAGCGGGGTGCTGACCGGCACAGTTGGCGCATTTCGCGGGGGTGTCTCTCGTTTTCAAACATGAGCTGGTTTCATGATATTCACCGCACTTTACGCATCGTGGTCGATGGTTGCAATAAGTTTTAGTGTGCCCATATTGCTGGCACCGAACACACTGAGGAATATTTCTCTTTTGACGCGGTTCCTCAATTTTAATAGGATTGGATACGAGAGGAATTCGATGGTTTTGTGGAGCCCCAGAGCTCAACTCCCTCAGTCAAAATAGGCCTTATTATAGTCATGTGTAATTAATAGAGTCGTTGTAATTAATTGGATCTAAAAGCGTTTGTCTAGTAAGTGCTAAAGTAATCGGAAACGTTGAGCGTTTTATTGTCGTTTCAGTCTGGTATGAGGTCTTTAATTTAAATTATTTTATATACGTTTATTAAAATAATAATCTCCTTATAATGAAACAGTTATATTAAATTAAATAAAAATATAAATGTTATTTTTTTAAGATTATGATAGTCTGGTAAGATAGAATCTATATTGTATTATTTATATAAACTGATGTGCTGAAGAGGGGAACAGTGATTCCTAGAAACATAAATTAATAAAGAATAATCAAAATACTAAGTGGGATTATTTTTATTGAATCGACCTGTTCGCAAAAAGTAGCGAAAAGTATTTTTATTTTTCCAAATTTTGTTTTAATAAAAATATTAATAAAATTTATTAGCTTATAGTTTAGTTCTTTTTTCATTAATTATAAGCAAAAATTAAGTAGAGAATAAATAATAAAAATAGTGCGTTTATTGAAAAGATATTGTACATATATTTTTGATTGCATAATACTCTTGGTCAAAGACCAGCAGAGGGCCCATAATATTAAAAAAAAGTAATGAAGCAATCATTGATTGATTCACTATTGATAATAAATATTTTTAATACAAATTATACACTAAAATCACAGCCTAAATATCTAAGGAGTTTCTAAACTCCAGAGAACAAATAAATGAACAATAGGCGTTGATGATACTAGGGTTTTTCGCCTTAAAGCCCAATAAACAAACAAACAACCTAAATACTTATAATATAACTATAAAAATATATTAACAATGCTTTATATAACAAAACTAAAAGCCTAAACATAAATTATAAAATCTTATTAAATACAGCATGCATAGTTAAATTTTAAATTCTTTGTCTTACTGAAATCTGCATCTCCAAGCTTGAAGTCACAGGCGGATTTACTTGGGGGGGGGAAGGCTTTCGGGCTGAAGCACCTTCCAAAATGGTAAAATATAACCATGTTTTACAGAAAATAATATTAAAAACTATCTCTTAAGGTACTGTTGTTCGTGTAATTAAATTTAATATGACTTCAAGAACCACTTCAATCACCATTTCATATAGGTAGTTAATTTCTTTCTTTTTTTTTCTAATTAATATGAAAAAAAAATCTTTCGGGCTGAAGCCCTCCCCTAAATTAAATCCTGGATCCTCTAGTGCTTGGGATATAATTGGAGTGCTTGGAGTAACCGATCTGGACAGACCATTTCTTTCCATTAAATATTCTACAGTGGTTTACAAAACATAGTTTAAGTACAGTGGAACTTAAACTGTGTTTTGTAAACCACCTTATTCTGAACTCCCTTAATCCTGAACAAATATAAAAAATATGAGTAATGTTCTTCCTCACTTCCAAATTGCATACCGTACAGAGCCCATTAGCTTGTTCAACAAACTTGTAATAATGCTATAACAATTTCCATTGGCATCGTACATTTTCTTCCTGAAACAACTAAAGTCTCTGTATTTTTCTGTTAAAAATTAATAAACTTAAAGAAGATTGAAAAGAATATGCTTAGCTTTGTAAAATGATTACTTAGTAGATTCTTGGAATATATTATTACTAATTATGTTCGGGATGATTGCGTGCTTTACGAATTTGTGTAGCCACGCATTTGCGTGCGTTGGAAAATAAATCCTTCCGAGATTTCTATATTAGGCAAAAAATTAAACTTTACTAAAAATGATAAGAATACTAGAATTAAATATTGAATAAGCCAAAGGGGCAGAAATGGGAAGAGAATGCTGTTAGCATTAAGAGGTGAAAGTTTGCAAGGTCTTTGAACCTTTCAAGTTAGTGCGGTTTCAGTTGGAAATCTGGATTGATACTTGTGTCGAGTTTCTCCTGTTTGTTATACATATTATTTTAATATGTAATTCTTTTATAGTTGGACATAACTATAACTATAAATTAATTCAAAATAGTTACTAATGCTGGACAATTTTAGATATATTTTAGGTATAACCAATATATTTTTGCATTTAACTCTTCTAATTTTTCATTTGGGCTTAGTTAGATTTTCCCTAACTAAAAAAATACAGTAACATCTCTATATTACTAAGCTTATCGGTAACTGCGAGACCATTTCGAGGCTCTTGCGGAAGACCAAGACCTAGACCAAGACTGAGTTTGCAAGACCAAGACTCGTCTCGGTCTCTTATTTGGGCACTAGAATAAACCTTAATAGCTTTTCGATTATTGCTAACACTTACGATTTGAATTCATATTTCATAATACAAAATAATATTTCATAATACCTAGTACTCATTAAATCTGCTTGTAGAAAACTGACAAGATAAGACAGTTGCGTACTTCTGGGATCTTATAATATATTTATCAAACTTTTAATCTCTTGAAAGTATTGATAAAATTTTATGAATGTAGAAAATTTATAATTTCACAACGTCCCGTTTTTTTCAAAGTCATATTGTTTATAAAGGATATTCTTCATATTATAGATGTTTCTCTGTCTCATTATCTTCTAGTTGTTTGTAAATAAAAAAAAATTAAAAGTAATTATCAATTTTAAAAATTCATTTACGTGTGCTGAGTTGCTTATTTTTAAAGTGGACCCTAATTGATTTTTCTGAAAAATTCCTTTGAAAACTCACTCAATGAATCCGATTTTGAAGTTGTTTTTTTTTTTTCAAAAAAGAACATTAAAAAATTTAATTGGTTATTATTTTTATCTTATTATTTTATTTTAATTAATTTTACTTTGACCGTAAAACTTATTTAAGATAAACAACCTTCTATAGGTTATTCATATCTTATAGGAGATTTTTAAATTATTCTTATATTTAATCTATTCAAGATTATTTTTCATAAAACCCTTATTTAATCTCACTGTACTTACAACTTTAAAACATTATTACAATATGATAAAAAAAAAATATTATTTAACGTTTCGGCTCCAAGTGCTATTTTCAAAAATTCTTTTTCTTTAAAAAAACAAACAAAATATTAGTCAACATTAAAATAACACTATTACTATTTTTTTTTTTCTTAAAAACACAAGGAAGGGAGAGAAAGAGAAACAATTTATTTTCATATAAATCATAAAATATAAAAGCTTTTTGCCCAATTAAATTGGATTACTATATAGAATTATATATACAATTATATAGAATAGTATTCTATGGTAATACTTGTTTTATTACTTATAAAATGCTTTGTCTTTATTTTTTTTTTTTAATATAATAATAAATAAATAATTTATTTAATAGAATAATTCTTCTACATTTCTAATTATTTTAATTTTACTATTGGTATCTAGTATATACCAATAGTAAAATTAAACTAATTAATCCATTATTTACTTTTAACTTTTTTATTTACACATTCTAATTTGATTTATAATTAATATTATACGTTTTTTTCATGTACTGATTTGTTGCTATATTGTGTTTCTTACATCATCAAGCAATAAAATAAGACTCTTTAATTTGGCGTAATGTTTGACTGAAATCAAACCGACTTCATTATATGGCCAAATATATCTGAGCCATTATTTGTCATCTATATATGTGATTTATTTATTTAAAAAATTACTGATCTATTCTTAAATCATAAAGAAATTAGTGCAAATACAGTATAGATCTTTGGTTGCCATTTACATATTATTTGTTATCAGTAATGTTTTATTTGATTAGGCTTACACATTTAATTTTAATAAAGTGATATATATATGATATATATATATATATATATATATATATATATATATATATATAAAAATAATTAATAATACAATAATTTAGTGACTATGAAATAACGTGATGTTGACGCTTATGTAAATTTAATTATTATTACAGTTCCTCGTATTTCTTACGCCTAGATTTACTTCTCAACTCAAAATAATCTTTAAATAACTACTGATTTTTTTTTGAATTATAAAAACGAACGTAAAAAAAAAATTAGCTGAATATAAAATGTCTTTACCTGGTTCTATTAATAGTTTACCTTAACGTTTTGAGTTGTCCTTGACATTTCTTGTTCACTTACTCAAAGACATCTATTTTCAAGAATTACCTTCCTATAAAAATATTTAATTTTTTTTTTACCAAAACCGATTGACATACTTATCGTGTTCTTTTTCAATCATTTAAAAAAAATAATAAAAAAATATAATTAGGAGGATAAAGTTTTAGGTGTATACAAGTATGACGATTGATTTGATTTCAATAAAATGACATTGAATCATTGTCTAAAACGTAGAGAAGGAAAAATCAACAAAATAGGTCGTTTTTTTGGAAGTTGTAAGATTTATCGCTATTATAAAAATAATAATAATATTTTAGCTTAGCGTTTTGAGTTGTCCTTGACATTTTTTGCTCACTCACTCAAAGACACTCGATTCCTCCTACCTTTCTCTTTGAGCGGATTCGCAACTGTAAATGGATGACAAAAAACGGATTAAGAGTTTTTCTTCTATGTTTGACTTAAATTGTTAAAATTACTTTGATGCAGTATGGATAAATTTATGTCTGTAAGAAGGACACTTTTGCAACTAGAACGCTGTTACTCGAAAAATATATGTTTTAGCCTTCTCAGATAACTGAACAGTCTGACTGTCGCGACCTTATTTAGGAAATAGTTCATGGACTCGTGCACTCAGAGAGAGTATTGCATAAGATTGCGTGTACGTAAACATTCGAGTTCTAAAACGTATTACAAGAGTGCCCTGTAAACACTCGATCAATGAATCAATCTCATTGAGATTGGTCATCACGCTTGAGCGCAACATGGGATGGACAGGCTGATGTAATTGCGTTCCTTGTGACGTTAGAACACGCTTCAGTGGATATAGCTATAGCTTCTTCTTGATGCATTCTAAATAAACTTGTGAAATAACGAATATTTTTTAATAGTTGAATGTCGTGAATGAAGAGAATTTGATTGGGTGGGGTGAGCAGTCACAAATAAAAATAAATAAATTATAATTATTTTTATTTTTGCCGACGGTTCGGCCCAAGGTTCAGACTGAAACGACTAGGAACCGCCCGACGTTTTCGACTACTGCAGCACTTACTAGACAAATGCACTAAACTTCCAGCTATTTACAAAAGACTCATATATGTTACTGTAATAAAGCCTATTTGGACTTACGGTATCGAGCTTTGGGGCTCTACTGAACCATCAAATTCCTCTCGTATTCAATCCTTACAATCCAAAATCCTTCGTAAAATCCTTAATGCCCCATGCTTTGTTACAAATACAACCATCCATAATGACCTTAATGACCAGATACCTATCCTTCTATAATAAACTTCTGAACCATCCGAACCCTCTTGTTTCCAAACTTGCTTCCTCTTCCATTCCTGATAATCATCAGAGGCGTCTAAAAAGAAGATGGCCTCGGGACCTTCTAATATAGAAATATAATTGGAGTGCTTCCAATGTGTAGTATCTCTTCATGTTGTACATGTTCTGTTACTTGTTTCATATTTACTTGTTGTATTTATCATTTAATACAGTTGTAAATTTCAATTAAAAAATACTAAAAAAAAAAAAATAAACCATATTAAAGTTACTTCAGAAGAAAAGGCATTTAAGCCCCGTAAAGTGACATCAATGGGGATAAGACCTAATTTATATTAAAAATCGCTTAATTATACAATGATGCACCGAGTTTAATCAAAATCGTTAGAGCCGTTTTTGAGAAAATTGTAAAAATGTGTTTCAGAATTGATATAAAGTAACACTTTCGGTTAGAAGATTTTAAGGAAACAGTTGCTGTCACATCTAAGGCATATACCCATCTTAAATATATTACATCAGTTTTGTACGACTTTTCTTCATCAGGACTAAGAAGAGACAAGAGAACAATGCATATGAGAAATCAAAAATGCCCGGAAGGTTAAACAAGTTGCACCATAAAAAATTTTGAGGAAGGCCTATTTTGATGGATTTTTGAATTTTGGAGGGGGTAGGGGCACATTTCGACTGGGTTATAAATTTTCAAAATGAAAAGTTTCAAACTTAGGATTAAGAGGAGAATATCAAACAGACCGCAGCAAGGGTAATTGTATATAATCTGCGATTTTTCTAATTCTACTTCGCTTGCTTTGTTCTTACGAAAAGGTGAGCAATAAAATATCGTGGGGAGAATAAGGTAGGATTTGTGTCATCGGCCTTGAGGGGGATGGGCACCACTGTGAGAAACTAGTAAACGGATGAAAAATAATAATATGTAGAACAAAGTTAGGATTAGTGTTGCCCAAATGCGACGAGTCTTGGTCTAGGTCTTGGTCTTGCGCAAGAGTCTCGCAACAGTCTTGCAGTTAGTTACCTATTAGCTTATTACTAGAGACATATTACTGTAATTTTTTATATAGGAGAAACCTAACTAAGTCTGAATGAAAAATTAGAAGAGTTAAATGTAAAAGTATATTGGTTACACCAATTCTTTACATATAGTAACTAAAATTGTCAA